GCACTTCGTGATCTGACTCCCCGTTGGACACGGGGAGCATTGAGTGCCTGGCAGTGTAACGTTCACACTCTCCCAAATGTATCTAGATGTAAAACACGTCATGTGAGTGCATAGCTTGGTTTCCCTTTTCACCCGTTTTTTTTTTTTTTTTTTTTAAGAAGAAGATCTTTCGCACTGGCTGCACTCCTGGCGAGGCTTTGGGTGCCTCGGAAACAAGAAAACAACGGCCTGTTTACATTCCATCTGCTGGCAGCAGGTCCAGCATAAGGGGCGGCACCTGCTTGAAGCAACAAATGTCCCGTATTTTTTCCCATTCACTGCAGGCTCCGCAAAAATCGGCGCGCAGGGCATATTCAGGCTCGGCTTCAATAGCTGGGCCAAGTACTGGTGGTTTAACCAACTCTGAGCTACCTAAAACTAAATCCACTGCCACCTGGCCAAAAGCCCCAAACAAGCCAAGAAACTACTATCAACCTACCGTCTTCCCCCGAACATAACACACCCTTAAAATGAACGTATACAAGTTATATTTCCGGCCAGATACAGCCAAAATGAGGGTGCGTTGTGTTCGGGGGAAGACGGTAGTCAGCAACAAACCAAAAGACCTATCTAACAGCAGAAACTAACACACCATTATTGACTATATAATGGCACTAATTCGTGCTCCTACCTGCCTAATTTGGCGGGTTGGTCCTTGGACCCCAAGCGGGAAGCACTCTCTTACCACTTCCCAAACCCATGCTGCCATCCTCCGGCGGATCAAGGACCGAGTGCCCAGGTATGTACCACTCTTCTGCTTTTCTCAAAACCACCCACCCAACCTCAGATTACCATCTTCGAACTTGGCCAATTTTCCATCCAGGGCCCATGTTTCACCAAACCATTTCGTTGACTTCTCCTGATCCTTCCTTCTCCAATCAGCCTGAATGGTCTGACGAAGAGAGCTTGGAAAAGTGCATCTAAGCTCTTTGTTTGTCATCGCTTTATTGTGGAACTCGGACAGCTTGTGCTATGTAACCCCAGCCTTTCTTCAAGTCCCAAGTGACCTGGGAGACCACCTAACAAATCCCATTCCCTGTCCCACTCCAACTCCTTCACTTAGGATTGCTGCCCTCGTAAAAAAAAAAAAAAAAAAAAAAGAAAAAAGAAGAAGGATTGGTGGCCACGGCCAGTCAACGCTAGTGACTAGCTGGGGCAAGTTGTGCCGCCCTGTAACCCGTTGCAATGCGGGAGCACCGGGCCAAGTGGAAGTGGCTGCTCAGGTCCTGCTCCGGCCTGTCGGGATACACCCAATACAAATCCAATAAAAGAGCTCTGAGGTTGAGTTCTCAGTCAGAATCATCATAGCTGACATTCATAATTACGATGCGTATCAGGGTTGAGACCCTCAATTTCACGATATTTCCAGAGGCCCCACTGACATAAAAAAACATAAGCTCAACATACCTGTCACAACATAAGCGCAATCCAAATTTCGAGTATGCCCCGATAGCTCCCCTCCCAGGGCCAGGGGAACGCCCTCGGGTGCCACCAACGGCCACAGGGGCATGCGGGAAAGTTGCACCCCTCACTGACAGGGAGGGGCATGCAGAAAACTTCAAGAGGAGGGGCATGCCAGAAATAAATGGAAGACGGGCCTGGAATGTAGCTTGTGTATACATTCATAATGAGGGTACGTTGTATTTAGGTGACGATGGCAGTAGAGCAAGCGTCGAATAGGTTGTCTGCTCGTTGATGACCTGCACTCCATTGAACAATATTTTAATTTGAATATTGTTTTTACTATGGAAAATTTTTCGAATGCCTCTCCGTCTTCCATTTATTTGCGGCATGCCCCTCCAACAGCGGACTTACCCTGTCGTGCCCCTGGTGCCTCTGAAGTTTTGTGCATGCCCCTCCCTGTCAGTGAGGGTTGCAACTTTCCCGCATGCCCCTGTGGCCGTTGGTGGCATTCGAGGGCGTTCCCCTGGTCCTGGGAGGGGAGCTACCGGGGCATACTCGAAATTTGGAACTGGTACCGGCAGGGGCATATTGAACATATTTTAGGCCCAAAGGACTCCAGGGGTTTTTCCAAAACTTCAATCGTTTCAGAGGGCCACGACAGGCTAAGTCGGCCGTCAGAGGGGCATACCGCAAATGAATGGAAGTCGGAGGGGCATTTCAAAAATTTTCCATTTTATTATTTTTGAATGCGCTGGCTCTTGGACGACTTGCACTCCATTGTTAAACAATGAAGAACACACTCCACATAAAATTCTTAGAGATGCACTGGCAGAAAGAAAGGGCCGTGTATGTCAAATCCGCGCGGCTCTAGATTGCTTGAGAAGGTACTACAATAATATTATAATAATAATAATAATAATAATAATAATAATAATAATAAGGGATAATTTGCAAAATACCCTCATAAGTTGGGATACATGCCAACATGCCTCTGAAAGATGTGGGTAGAGCGGAGTGGCCTTTTGGGCTGAAATCTTTGTGTTGTGCCCCTGTCAGGCGGGTGTGCAACTTTGCAATCTGGACCCTCCAGTTTGGGCCTTGGCCTTTTGCAATAGCGCCTAGGAGAAGTTGGCAAGTACTGGGGCATTTTGCAAAGTTGGATGTTACCGGGTAGGGGTATATTGCAAAGATGGGGGTCCAACCGACGCCACAGTTTTTTGTCAGAGGGGCATTCCGCTCTACCCACATCTGTAAGGCGCATTTTGGCATATATCTCAACTTCTGGGGGTATTTTGCAAATTACGCCTAATAGTAATAGTAATAATAATAATCAATATAATAATAGTAATAATCAATATAATAATAATAATAATCAAAATATATTATTGGGAATGCGTTGCCGGCAATGAAGAGAGCAAGATTGTCCTCCTCGCTTACCCGTGTGCCCTCCACCCCCTTTTCTCTTGCTACCCTTTCTTGTCTACCTCTTCCAGAAGTGCACATCTTCCGTCCCGCGATTGTCTTCTTTCCCTTCATCAGCTTTGTTTGTCAGCATCCAATGTTTTGTGGTTTGCAAATGTTTCCACTTTCGTAATGTTTTGTGCTTTGCAACTGTTTTCACTTTCTTGTTGTTGTGTCCAGAGGGGGCTTGCGTGTGTGGAGAGATCCACTGCCTGTTCTTCATTCTTTCAAGTACGCGGGTGGGACGGTTTTGTGGGACGTAAACTGAAAGATTCTGGAAGTGAGTGGCGATCAAGATGGCGGTAAGTGGGCAGTGGCAATGACTCAGATCTTTGTTGTCCTTGCTCCTCTTTTTTTTGGCATTTGGATAAATACTAAATAGTTTAATAATATACTATTAAAAATACTAAGTATGTTATGTATATGAGGGTTCACACTCCTGATTAGGCGATGAAACTTCGATGGAACAGTCTGTCACAACCCCTGTTCCTTGCCTTTTTTTTGCCTTCGGCTCTTCACGATGTTCCCTGGCTCTTCAGGATTATTCCCTGGCAGACTGCGACTATATTTATTTATGTCTATATAATTAATAGTGTGATTTGATGCTCCTGAGAAAAGATGTAGCTTTATCACTGTGGTGAGGGCTCCAATTCCGCAACTCGAGGCTCCCCATTGGGCTAAGGGTTGGAGGGTTAGGGGATTTAGCAGCGTAGTTGCTGTTCATTTTTTCAATTGTGAGTTGTTGTGGAAGCCCGGTAGCATAATGCCTTTGTGGTATACTCAGCTCTTGCATCTCCCTCTCCTCCCCCCCCCCACACACCCAAAAAAAAAAAAAAGATGGAATTCTGAAGGTTCCTCTATGTCTCGAGGACAACAGCCTCGGGCGTTCAGTGAAGTATGAGAACATCTAGGCAGTCGTTTGGAGTTTGACATATGTTTTTGCTGGAATAGAAGGCAACAAAAGGATTTTTGTTTTCCGTCAATTGTCAGTGCTATTGTTTTTTGTCTTTTGCAACTCTTTCCTTCCTCTCCCCTCCTCCACCTCCCTCTCCCTCATCTCTCCTTCCTTCTCTTCCTCTTCCTTCTCCTTCTCCCTCTCCCTTCCTCTCCCTCTCCCTTCCTCTCCCTCTCCCTCCTCCTCCCTACCTCTCCCTCTCCCTCCCTCTCCCTCCCTCTCCCTCCCTCTCCCTCATCTCTTCCGCCTTCTCCTTCTCATTTGCCCTCCCTCTCCATTTTGGTGGAAGAATGGACATTGTTGCTCTTCCTCTTTCTCTTTCTGCGAACAAGTCTTCTTGTCGGCATTATGCTGGGCTCCCTTTTTTTCTGAATAACTCTCATTTTTTTTTTCTGCCTTTTTCTTTTTGTGCCAACAATTCTTTTTTTTGCGGCATCACGCTCGTCTTTCTTTCCCTCGCCATGGGTAATTTACGTCTATTCCTTAAACCGCCATGGTTGTTTACTGGGCTTTACACAAAGGCCATGGATAATTTACGTCTATTCCTTAAACCGCCCGTATCATTTATGACCACCCTGGTTACAAGAAGGCCCACCCTTTTTCAGTTGATCTTGGCCGCAGGTGTGAGAACCGTTTTATCTTACTTTTCTCCTTCTCTTTGAACACTCTATTTTTTTTGAAGTAACAGCAGCAACTCTGGATCCCGGCCAATGAAGGCAAGGAACAGATGGCCTATTTTTTTTTTTTTCTGGAGGCTCTAATGCTGTCGAGGAGCGATCAGGAGCTTGCTCGTCATTTCCCCATACGGCTGCGTCTTTGTGTATGGTGGTTGTGCATGGTGGTTGTGTGGGGAGAGGAGAGTGGTGGTGGATTGTCTCCTCCCATTTCTCAAGTCTTGTTGCTTGTTGTTTTTGCGGGCTTGTTTCGTCGTGACAGACGGTTCCAGTTAATCCAAAGCCATTCCTAAATGATTTGACAGGCAAGCCAGTCATTGTGAAACTGAAGTGGGGAATGGAGTACAAAGGCAAGTGTTAATCCCTTGTCCGACCCCTTCCTTTGAAGATCCAAAAGACCACAGATGTGTCATCTCGCACCCCCTTTCCACCCTCTTACGTGCCTTCGCTAACTCCTGTACTTCAGTGTGGCAAAAGAAAACAGATGTGCCGTCTCTCTCTCTCTCTCTCTCTCTCTCTCTCTCTCTCTCTCTCTCTCTCTCTCTCTCTCTCTCTCTCTCTCTCTCTCTCTCGTTCAATGTGCCAGAAGAAAACAGATGCTGCGTTTCTCTCTCTTGCTCTGCCTCCCCCGCGCCCCCTAAAGAAAACAGATGCGCCATCTCTCTTTCTCTGTCTGTCTGTCTGTCTGTCTGTCTGACGGTCGGCAGGTCAACCGGTTGGTCAACCGGTTCTCGACGGCCTGCTGGTCCGTCTGCCTGTCTGTTTTCCAACAGTTCAAAACACACACAAGCGTACCTTCATTTGTGCACTATTTTCTTTGTGTTCCTTCCCTCGTTCTATCTTTTTTTTTCCAGTGACCGCTGCTGAGGTGAGCCAAATCGTTGTGCAGTGTGCACTTTATTGTAGGAGCCCCAATTCCACTGTGAGCGGAGCTGCTGTGTTTGTGACGACTTCATCTCTGTAGTCTCCGTTGGTGACCTGGCTCCCTGATTGCCGTACGCCCTGCCGTTTGCCTTGATGCCTGGCCGACACTTGCCTGGCTCTTGCCCTGTCATTTGCCTGCCTACTTGCATTATCCCTCGCCACAGTGCTTTTGCCTTGCTGCCTGACGCTCTACTTGCGTTATGCCTGTTGCTTCGCTGCATATCTTGCCGCCGTTCCTCCCTCTCCCTCCTGACATCGTGCCGCTGCGTAGCAACTCTCTGCCCTCGTCCCTGCTCACCTCCATGCCTGCCTTGTTTCCTTGCTGCTGGTTTTCCTGCCCTCCTCCCTGTCCACCTTGCGCCTTGGTTCCTTGCGGCTTGTCTGACTACTTGCCTTTTTTTTTTTTTTTTTTTTAAAAAGGGCGACGGCCTTGAGATATCTTCATTGAACTGACCGGCCTCAGGTAAATTACAAGTAGTTCATTCGCATGGTTGCCGTGCACTTCCATCTGCATCCATATTCAGGTCCGTGTTTCAACAGTTGGTCCGTCAGTCCTGGCTGCTTGCCTTGCTGCTTGCCCTTCCTGCCTTTTTTTTTGCGGTCTTGCCGCTTGCCTTATTGCCCGCTTGCCTACCTGTCTTGTGGCCATGGTTCTTGCCTACGAGCGGTTTGTCTGCCTGGTGTGTTGTTGCTGGTTGCTGCCTCGCCACCAGCCAGCCTGCCAGCCTGCCTTGCCTCTCTTAGCTTGCTCGAAAGCGGGTAATGAATGAACCCGCAACTGCCATAGACTTTCCGTTATGCAAGCTCACCATCTTTCTGGCTCTTTGCTTTTCTTTCGATGTGTTTGTGTATTGCAGGGTACCTTGTCTCTGTGGACTCGTACATGAACCTTCAGGTGAGAGCAGGGGGTCTCTACTTATATCAGCTTCACGATCACCCACATTCCACCTCATGAGTACATACAAGAGGCATGTAGCTATCTGCTTAACTGGCGCCACCATTTCATCTCCTCGCTCCATACAAAGAGCGGGGGGCTGGGGGTAAGCGGTTTCTTACTACCGAGCCGAAAATAACACCCAGGCATTATGTATGAATATAACGCCCTACGGGCGTTTAATCCTGTTGCCGTGTCTGGGTGTTGTATTCTGCAAAACTGGACCAACGTTTTGGCAGGTAGGACCACCGAAAATAAAGAGATGTATAAAATGCCCGGACATTTTATTTTGGTGAAGTCCGGAGTTCTTGAAGCGGTACAGGTAGGGCCTTCACTCCCATCCAACCAAGGACCCTACCAGCTTTTTTTTCCGTGAGTGGCTTTCGGCCACCGAGCACACAAAAGCAGCCACGGGTATGTGTGTGTGTGTGTGTGTGTGTGTGTGTGTGTGTGTGTGTGTGTGTGTGCGTGTGTGTGTGTGTGTGTGAGAGAGAGAGAGAGACAGAGAGAGAGAGAGAGAGAGACGGACACTTCACGAATTGTCGGCGCGAAAACCACCAGTACCTTCTGGAGCACTCTGCTGAACCTTTTTTGGGGCCGGCTACCAACCCTACTGTCTTAACCCGAAAACAAGGTACGTACCTTGTATTCAAGTTAACTTCGAAAAATGGGTTCTTAGAAATCGCTGTTAACTTTTTGAATAGAAGGTACCCTCGAATACAAGGTACATACCTTGTATTCGAGGTGTGCCTTGTAACTGTCATGTAACTTTCTGTCTCTCTGTCTCTCTGTCTCTCTGTCTGTCTGTCTGTCTCTCTCTGTCTGTCTGTCTCTCTCTCTCTCTCTCTCTCTCTCTCTCTCTCTCTCTCTCTCTCT